AATGAGTTGCATGACAATAACGAATCTATTCAAGTGTGCGAATAATTAATAATGACTTCATCGAATCATTATAACAATGAATTATTAAATGCGTATTACTATCACCACAATTTCACCCGTCTATCCTTCATATATTATCGCTATCGTTATTGTAATCATTATTACTCCTATTAAACATGCTTTGTCGACAGTTTTTGGATATCACTGTCATTAGTCATCAGTAATTTGCATTGATTAATATTACTGTCAATGCCACAAATCACGCTAATGAATTACTCTCGAAATAACAAATTTTTATTTCCAACCTTTTTTTCGCGTTAAAATCATTTAATGATATTGGAAATCATAAAGTTTATCATATCCTAACTTAAAGTTTTAACAGAGAAAAAAAATGGTTTATAAGGCATGACCGAAACATTCATCAATGAATAAAGAAACGGAAAAAATTCATGACATTTTTAAGTATAAAGATAATAAGTTGATAATGCTGTAGACAAATAAAGCTGAGTAAACAAGTCAAAAAGTAAACAGAACTACGTATGCACTCAAGTTGTGAACAACATAAACTGATGATAAATTTGGCAAAATTTGACGGATTAGCGTCTTTTTTTTTCCACTTGTAATTCTTAGCAACCACAATATTTTACGAATAAACTGACTGTCATAAATGTAATTTGCTTTACCCACTAGCTCCATTAATTGGTTTCATTTGCTTGTCATTGATTTAACAAGCATAAATAAATGTATAATTACGAGCAAACAAAAAACTACCACCTTGTTTGAAATAATAATTTCAAGTAATTATTAATTGTAGATAGCAAATTAACGGAGAGGGATTATCAAGAAGCAAATTTATACAATACCCCTTACAATTTTTAAATAGCTATATTCAACAAGTTGACTAAAACGACGACAACAATGAGACTTAATAGTAAGAATAGCAACAATCATGATGAAGTGCCATTGCTAATGGGGTTACATGGTAATGTTCAGTAATTATGGATTAAAAGTGGATCAATGCGCCAAACCAATCAAAAAAGCGATAACCAGATTGTTTCTGCGATAAATGCGATCATAACTCTGATATTTGCAATCAACGTAATTATGATGATGATGGTAATGAAAGACAATGATAAGAGACATGAAACATGATTAATTGATTATTATGATAATGAATGATTGGTGCGAGAGATGATCATGATTGTGAACCAATGATGAAAGAATAATAGACAACAAAGTGGAAAATCATTACGATAATGGATGGGCAAAGAAGACGAATACTGATAATGGATGAGTGAAAATAACAATAGTGTCAATAATAGCGATCGAAATAACCACTAAAAAGACGATAAGGAAAGGATGCCATCCAGAAACAATAATTGCATTGCAGAGGCAATAATAATAATGATAATTAATGCTAATAATAATAATTATAATAGCAATAACGACAATAATAATAATAACAATAATAATAATATTAATAATAATAACGATAATAATAATAGTAATAACAATAATAGTAATAATAATAATAATAATGACAGTAATAATAATAATAACAATAATAATAATAATAATAATAATAATAATAACAGTAATAATAATAATGATAATAACAATAATAATAATAATAACAATAACAACAGTAATAATAATAAT